TTTTGGTTTTAACTCGCTGTATTTTTACATTTTACTATAACTTACTTTTACTGTTTCTACCGGTTGTTTGGAGATAGCCTCATTGCTTTGTGCCATAAAACACCAACCAATCTTTACACATGTGGTTCCTTTGTTGTTGGGATCTTTTGCGGAGAGACACAGTTTTGTCCCACATTGTCATCTCCTTATCTTCAGGACTTACACCTCACCCCTTTTCTCCATTGGTTAGTGTTTGGAGATCTTTTAGCGACTTTGGCATCTCGGGTGGAATCTCTGAGACAGCAGTTGACACTTTCCTTGTTAGTTGGTCATTTGTCTCACACGGAGCCTCGACCATCCCCTATTTCTGTTCCCCATCCTAATTCTTCCTAACCCTTACCTGTTCCACATGGGGATCTTCTTATCTTTGTTTTCTTCAATGCAGAGTGTCATGCCACCAGCAGTATCAGTGACTACCCTGTGATTTCAGGTCTGGTGGAGGCTCGTTTTTCCTGGTTTGTTCATCTGTAGCGAGACTTTGTCAGGGATCTATAGGTCCTTCAGGTTTTATCAGAGGGACTTGTCAACCATTTCTTTTCCTTTCCTTTATTGTATCAGATACTCATTTTCTTTCTGTTGTCTCAGGATCCTACCAAATTTCAGCATCTGTATGAGGCAGTACAAGATCTTCTCTCCAAACATACCAGTAAACCTGTAGTTCACCCTTCTCCGAGGGTATATTTTAGTGTGTTTGTTGTCCCCAAGAAAACCGAAAGTGGTGGCATGTGATAGATCTGTCATGCCTCAATTGCTTCTTATTGCTACCTCATTTTACCATTGAGTTGTTTCTCACTTTCAGGTGGACTTTTTCTTTGGGTTTATGGATGACCAAGGTTGATTTCTCAAATGCTTATCTTCATGTTCCCATATCAAGACAGTTGAGATGCTACCTTCAGTTTCTTTATCACTGGGTGGTTTATCAATTTTCTGCTCTTCCTTTTGGGCTTGCAACAACACCATATGTCTTTTGGGTAAACAAGGTTTTTGCTGGACTTATGCACACTCGAAGGTTGTGCTTCCATCATTATATGGATAACTGGCTTCTATTGGTTCATTCTGAACTGGAGTCTGATTAACACACTCATGTGCTTCTTTTGGAGGTGGCTCGAATTGGTTGGTTGATCAAGTTGGAGAAATCCTTCCTTGCTCCTACCCAATGTCTTATCCATTTGGGTGTTTTGTTCAACACTAATCTCAGTTGGGCCCAACCTTCTTTTTGGACTCGTTTGATGGAGCTGGCAGTTATCAATACCCTTACTGCTTCCTTTCTTACTGCTCGCAAGGTTCTATCTCTTTTGGAGATGTGGTTCTCTATGGTGGCACTTATCTCCATGTGTCATGCTCATATGAGATCTCTTAAATGGACTCTTCATGATCAGTGGAACCTTGTGTGGGATTTCTTGGATGTTCCTATTACCCTTCCTCATTCTCTTGTAGACAATCTGCATTGGTGGTTGGACAAGGCTCACTTTGGCAGGGTTTCTACTTCCTCCTCTTCATCCAGATTTACATCTTTTCATGGATGCCTCACTTCATGGCTGGGGAACATGGGTCAAGCAAAAAGTTGCTTTTGGTCAACAATCTACAACTGAACAGTTTTACCATATCAATATCCTGGAGCTCCTTGTTGTCCATTGGGCTTTGGATGATTTTATTCCTCTTGCCTGAAATCATCTGGTTATGATCCAGATCCAATATACTCCACTGTTAACTCTTCCCAGCATTCCATCCCTTCTATGGCAGCCTCAGTCTCAAGTAGTATATCCCACCATTCCTGCCCATTGTCTTCATGCTTGGTTTTTATGTGGTCCTTGGCAATGATATCTGGTTTATCATGGTGAGTAGTTTTATTATTGGCATGTTCAGTTCGACCTTCTTCCATGGAGGTTTATCAACATAAGTGGAGCATTTTCTGCCATTGGTCTTTGGGCTGTGAGTTTCCCCTCCTCGTCCCACTGTTATTATTATTGCAGATTTCTTCACATGGTTATTTGATCAGGAGTCTTCGGTCTCATCAATCATCGGGCAGCTTTATACCATACTTTTCGTTTTTTCTGTTACCATAAAGTTTTGACCTCCCATACCTTGTCACTCCTGTTATGTTCCTTTTGGAGTAGTTGCTCTCCATTGCATGCAGCTCTTCCGGGTTGGGATGTCAGTGTGATGCTTCACTGTCTTACTTTACCTTCATTTGAACCTTTGTCTTCTTGCTCCATGTTTCATTTATCCCTTAAATTGTATTTCCTCCTTTTAGCCTGTGGACATCGTCAGTCGGGGTTGTTTGATATTGACATTTCATGTATACTCTGTATCGTTCCTCTTATCTTCTCCTTTACTCAGATTGATCTTTCCTTCCCAAGATTTTGGCAGCTCGGGAGGGTAATTCCCCCTTCTCGCCGAGTTCCCTTTTCAGTCTGATCTGAATAAACTTCTATGTCCTGTTCATGCTTTTTGTTGTTAAATCACCCGCATGGCTTCCTTCCTTCATTACTGTTCCAATCTGTTTATCCCATGACAACTATCCTCTGTTCATGATCTCTCTCTTTCCACCCTTACCAATTGGGTTTGGCTTTTAATTCGATTGGCTCATTCATCCTTGTCTCCATTTTCCCATCAATTATTTCAGGTGTCTTCCCATCAGATTAGGCACCTCACTTTTTCCCTGGCTTTTCATCTGCATCATCCATTGGAGGACATTCTTCAAGCAGGCATGTGGAACAATCCGCATACTTTTATCTTTCACTATCTGCATCGTGTTGGTGTTTCTTCCTCTTTGGGTTATCAACTTTCACCTGTTGCCATTCTTCAGACTTAGGTGTGACTATAACTAAGTAATTTTTTTTCATTCTTTATCTCTATTTTGATCTGGATCCCATTCTATAGTGAGTGGTGCCTGGCCAGGTATACTTCATTCACTTAGATTTGTATTCAAGTCCAAACTGTAAGGCCATGTTGATTTCTTTTTCATACTTCCATGACTATAAAACACACACTGTTCTGTACTTTTCCATATACTAGAGATGGGGTATTCTGCAAGATTGCTTGTAGTTTATTACTCATGGTATATTTGCTTCATAAATATGCCTCTCCTCATCCACGGACTTCCTGGGTAAAGCAGAAAGGGATAGCTGCCCTTCCCTGCTATTCCTTAGATTGAATAAATTGATTTTACTCTGCTTTCAATATAAGGTTGTGTGATCATTCATTGCACTGTCTCCAACATGTACGTACCTCTGGACTTCCACTGCTTTTTTTCCTTCTGTTTCTTCCAGTGGAATTAGAGAGTCCTTATTACTTTCAAGTTCCAAGCTGCTTAGGTATTGGACCATGGAGGTATATTCATGATTCAGAGATGTACAATATAAACAATAATGCCTCCATTCAGTTATTCAGTTGGTAGAAGGGCAGTGGTGTTCTGCTGGTGTTGAAATGATTGGGATCCCTCATCCTACCCTCACATGGATGTCAGTTTCCAGCAGTTGAGTTTTGGATTTAGAACTGAATTCATTTATCACATGTAGTGTGATTAGGATCCCTTATCCAATCCTTGCATGGATGAAGGTTCCCAGTAGTTGGGTTTTAGATTTAGAGCTGAGCCAATTGCCATATGTCATCACACATGTCGAGTGATTTGGATCTCTCATCCTACCTCCACATGGATGTCGGTTCACTGCAAAGGCCATGGAGGGTGAGGCATGTCTCCACGTAACTGAAATACAAAATGCTCAGCATGAACCCAATATCAGGAGAGGTAGAAATACAAAATACTGAGAAGAAGGAGTATCATGTAACAAGGAAATAGAGGATGATAGGAAATCAGGGAAAGGGAAAAACAGAACATAGCTGTGAAATCATGTACAAAAAAGCCATATTAGGCCTGATGGAACCCACAGTAGGAACTGGGGAAGACACAGCAAATTCAGGTGGACGAAAAGGCTGTCATCCCGAACAGGTTTGGCTTGTTCAGGAGGAAGTTGGGCAAGATCAGGAAAAGAAGGTTGATTCCAATAGCAATCAATCTCTCAACGAATAATTGCCGATATTTCCAAAGACAAGTTACCCCTACTGAAGCCTGAGTAAATGTGCTGGAAGATGGTACAACCTCCAATGTGGTAACATATGCACTTCAGAATTCACAATTTAAACCGAACACAACTGTGATGGTAAAGAATGACAAACAGAGAATTAATTAAGCTCCGTAACTGGGTTTAGAAAATGAAATAACACCACAATAAAATAATATTATGGAAAATTATAGGTTTTAAACTAGAAAATAAATGCTACAAAAATTCAAATTCGATTTTAAAGAGCACTAAATAAAATGTCTGAACACGAGCATTGCCAAACATAAGTGATAGTTAGGCGGAATAGCATAGAGTCACATGAGTCGTGTGTGTGTGGGTCACGTCTATTGATGGAGTTTTGTCCATGCATGAATCAGTTAATCCATGTGAACCAAGGAGCATGTAGGAGTGAAAGGCTTGTGGTGTACAAAAAGTTTTTGCAAATGGAGGGCAGCACTGAATGAGAATAGGTATGTATGTGAGAATATAGGTACACTGAAAATATATTTCTGACAAGTAGTTACCTCTCATTCTTACCACCCTTCCTCCCACTGTTTACCAGTGCTTAGTTTCCTGCCTAAACTCGAAGTAATAGTTAGGTAGAATAGCATAGAGGGAGTCACATGTGTGTGTGTGGGGAGGGGGGGGGGCACGTCTATTGGTTGAGGTCTGTCGCATGATAATTTGCAGTTAGACTGTGTAAACCGAAGGGTACATAGGAGTGAAAAGCTTGTGGTATGCAAAAAAATTTTTTTTTAAATAGATGGCAGTACTGAACAAGAATAGCTATGTATGTGAGTGGAAATAAGTACCTGTTGGAAATATATTATCAGTGTAGGAAAATTATAACTTTTGTGAAATAGTCACAAGAATATAATGTTCTGCTGTTACACATAGCTTCAGAAGAAAGTTCAGTGGCAGCTTTTCAAACTGTATCACAATGAGAGAGATATTGAACAATTAGCTGAGGATCTAGCTCAAAAGAATAAGGAGTTGGAACGAGTCAGTAGAAAGCGGGAAAGAATTGAGGAAGAGATTAAAGAAAAGAAGAAAGAAAATGGAAAACTTACAAGAGAGCTGACTAAAATTGAACAACAAATAAGAGAAGCTGTAAGTAGTATTAATCAACTTTGTAAGGCACGAATGTTGTTGTTTTTTAAGTTTAATGTAGTATGAAATTAGATTATTATAAAATCAAAATGACATATTCATTCCCTTTTGTTGTGATTGTTTGAGACAAAATATACCTGAAGACAAGGATCAAATTATGATGGAAGGTGGTGTTAACAAGGATTAACCCATGATAGAAGGTGAGTTTGACTGAGCTATGAAGGGAGATATGGTTGATGAGGATTAAACTATGATGCAAGATGGGATTGATAAGGATTAAGCAATGAAGATATGTGAGATTGACAAGTATAAAGCTTTAATGGGAAGTAGAGCTCATAGGGATTAAATCATTATAGAACAGTGTTTCTTAACTTGCGGTGTATGCACCCTTTAGGGGTGTGAAATGTCATTTCTGGGGGGTGGGACATGTTGGCATTTCCATTACAGGTAGGATTTCTCCCTTTTGACTCCTGACATCACTTGATAGCAAATGGATAGTAAACTTTTTATTATTTTCAACCATAACTATGCAACAATAGCCATTACAAATTCTCCCAAGCTAGTCATTAAAGTTCCCACAGGAATGAAGCTTCTGTTATAATTGAAATTAACATGTATCAGTTCAGAACATAATATAATACATCATTTGATAGATGGAAACATTAACTTTCTATTGATTATAGATGAGATATAATTAAACATAAGAGAGAACTATTAACAAATCCTGAAAGGCAAGGGGTGCAAGGACATATTCTGTGAACCAATTGGGTGAGGCTTCCCAAAAAGGTTAAGAACCACCGTTATAGAACATGGGGCTCAAAGGAATTAACCCTGTCACAACCCATGAGTATACACCTGCATATAAAACTTAAATTCAAGTAAAAATAATTTTAACCGAAACAATTCTTTATGTAAAAATATTTTATAAATGATCTTTTATCATTTTTTAACATTTATTTAGCACAATTAACAAATGAAAATTTAAAGAATGTGTAAACTTACATTACTGCACAGCTCGAAGGAGTCTCACATGGCAACAATGCAGTTATAAGTTTTTAATCATTTTTCTCCTATCCCAAAGGATAGACTTTTATTTCCTTAGAAATTAACATTCATTAAGAATATAATTAACCAAGTCTTAATTCTTCTATGGTTTTTTGTCGTGAAGATTTGTTATTAACTCTCTCAACTCCAGTTGGCAATATGATTGACCATGTGACCACTTTGTACTCATCCAAAGTCTTTAGAGATTTTATACTACTAACTGTTAATATAGTGTGTTTATCTTCAAGAAATGTGGCAGTCTTTCAGTAAATATTATGTCTTTCTCATACAAAAAATCATATTTTTTTTAGTGAAGTAATTTTAATAAACTAAAATAGATTTGTCCTTGAATATATCGAGTATTTGTTTTGAATAGTCCAATTGCAAAGTGATTTTCATGTTAAGTTTAAAAATACTTTTTCATTTCAAAAATCTCAAATTTCATTTGTGTAATCTCCTTAACCTCCTAAATATATTTCAAACGTTTGTTTAAGGGTCTTCCTGAATCTTTGGAGTCCAGGGTCCATGTGGCAAAATTGCATTATTCTTTGTCCTCCCTTGCTTTTCGTTTGTCTCAACCTACTGATTCTGCTCAACCTTTGCTTGTTCAAGTGCCCTGTGCTCCTTCTTCCTTGCCCTGCCATCTCCCTACTCCTGACGTTCCTTTCCTTACACCCATTATTCCCATTCTTGTTCCACTTGGCCTCACTATCAGTTATGGGAGGTCTTTCCATGAGTGTGTGGGGTGAGGTTACAACTCTTTTCCACCATCTGGAAACCATTTCACGATGGATCCATGAGTGTTAGGGGTTCTATCAGTGGGTCTGTGCATTCAATTCTGGTCCCTTCTTCCTTTGTGCTCTTTCCTGGTTTCTTTTTCTCCTGCTCAGGATCGTGTCTTGTTCAGTCGTCTAGCAGAGTCAGTTCTTGATCTTCTTCACAAGGGTGCTGTAGAATGTGTGTTGCCTGTTCGACCAGTTTTTGCTCCCATCTGTTTGTTGTCCCCAAAAAGACAGGAGATTGGAGACCTATTATCAATCTATCCTGGCTGAATGCCTTTCTGGACACACCCTGATTCACCATGGATTCATCCTACCTCTCTCTTTGGTAGGTTCCCCCCCCCAGGTCTTTCCATGAGCAAATATGACGTGACAGATGCTTACTTTCATATCTCTATTTTTGAGGAGTCACGTCATTATCTTTAGTTTATCCACAGAAAGAATGTGTTCCAGTTCTGTGCACTACCGTTTGGTTTTGCCTTGGCTCCTTATGTGTTCTGTGCCTTAACACATCATCTTCATTCGTTAGGTCTTCAGACTTATCATTACATGGATGACTAACTCCTGCTTGCCTCTTCCTGAGTCCAATCTGCCAATCACACCTGCTTCCTTCTTTGGGATTCTGCTAGGGTGGGGTATCTCATCAAGGTGGAGAAGTTGCTGTATCCTCCTCAGTCAGGTATCATCTTCTGCCTTTGGCAATTCTCCACACATCTGTTTGCTTTTAACTGGGGTAAGTTGACATTTTGGTTTCATCCCCCAGTGAGACAGTGGTAAGTCTTTGGACTTACAATGCTAAAATCAGGGGTTTGATTCTACCCTGTGGACATAGAATATAGCCCGATATGGCTTTGCCATAAGAAAAAACATGCATTTTAGTTTCACTTATGCATCCTTTTTTCTTTTTTTACCATTTCAAAAACAGTTGTTTTCCTCTGCATTTCTGGATCCCACCTGGGGGTGGGTGTTGCCTGGTAAGGTATGCTGAATCGTTTTATAATAGCACTTACTGATGGGATGTTTCTGTAAGATCACTGGATATTTTCTGCCCAGATGGACTGCACTTGACATAATCCAAGGTATACCAACAGGCTTCCTCCATATGTTTTTGCCTAGATGGGCCCCACTTGGCTATTTTGATATTAATCCAGTGTACTTCCCCTGGATGTATTTGCCTGGGTGGACCACACTTATTGATTTCTCTCTCATTGTTATGCTCCATATTACACATACAATATGGCACAAAATCTCGTATACCAGGTGCTTCCTCTGGATGTTTTTGTCCAGATGGACTGCACTTGATGTACTCCATTGTATACCAAGGAGCTTTTCCTGTATGTTTTAGCCTGAATGGACCTCACTTGGCTATTTTGTTGTAAATCCAAGGCATTTTCCCCGAATGTTTTTGCCCAGGTGGACCACACTTGTGATCTTATAAACTTATGCAATGTGCTTCCATGTTACTTTTGTCCTTGGATTGCACTTGATATAATACATCTTACCACAAGGCACTTCTCTTGGATGTTTTCTGCCCAGGCAGACTGCACTTGGCCTGTTCATACTCTGTCCTCTAGTCCTAGCCATGTATTCTCTTCATTTCCACCCTATGTGTCTTATCTTCTTTACTGGATGAAGATCATACCTGTTCCAGAAGTAGTGCTATATCCCACAGGTGTGCCTTGTATTTAATAGTGACAGACCTGCTATTTTTCATAGCAGTCATTCTCCGCTTGATTATTTGTTTTTGCACCTTCACTGGCCCCTCCACCTTTTCAATCTGGAAAAGGAGGTAGTACCATTTGGGAAGTTAACATTTTCTAATATGGAAAATTTATTTCTGATAGGTACTTTCCTCTTCCTCCTCACTAATTTTCTGATGTTTTCAGGTTTGTATATGCCAATTTTCGAAATTGAGGACTGTGCTCCAATGGTAGAGGGAGCTACCTGTGCTAGTATATAGGGGCAATGGGATTGATGGAGGGTGGTCACATGATCAGCACATGATGCAAAAAATATAGGGTTATAAAAGACTGGTGAACTGTTCATTAGATTGACCAATGCCTAAAGGGCAAATGAAGGTTGAGATAGCTATAGCTATGAAGAGGCAAATACCTATTGGAAATTCATTTTCAGTATTAGAATATGTTAACTTTCATGGTTTCCATCTTCCACTCTACATTCCCTGAGATTCCTCTTCCTCCAGGGACAAATTTCCTTCTACCTTTTTAGGTATGATCCGACAAGTTCTTTGATTGGTCTACACCTCATTGGGGGTTGCTGCTCACAGCTGGTCCATATTTTTTCCCATCAGATTTGTCACCTCTCTCATTCTCTTGCCACTTGTTTCCCATGACTGCTGGAGGACTACCTTGCGTAACTTCATCACCTACTAATTTCACCATCTGGCTGTCTTGTCTCCATTTGCTGTCCTACAGACTACTCACTGTCTTTAGACAAGTGAGTTCATTCCACTTTGTTTTCTAGCATTTGCTTACAAGATTATGCCAGGTGGCTGGTGGTGCCTCCCAGGATACACTTATTTCACATTGAGCCAGGATAAAAGAAAGCACTCATACCATCCACCCTGGTTCCATATATAACCACTGTTGAGATGGGGTGTTCTTCAAGACCACTTGAACTATCCTTGTGGCATATTCTAATATCTGACAACTGTACCCACTCCATAGACTATCATGGCAAAAGTAAGCACCAGGGGATGCTCTGCCTGCTTTCCTGGTTCACATTTTCTGGCTTTTCAAAATTGCTTTACACAGTTACCTGTCACACTCTCTCCAGTAAAAGACCTTTCCAGCTGAAACAGGACTGATGGGGATCCTGGCATTTTCTCTGGTCTCCCCACTGCAAATTCCTACTCTCTTTTTTTACATGTAGAGCATGGGAGATCCTTACCAGTTCCTTGCTGCTGAGGTGGTAGACCATGGAGAGCCCTTATGGATTAGTACGTAATTTCTGTGGTTAGAACAAGGGGTGCTAATCAATGGGAAGTGGGGCCATGATGACAACGTCAATGTAGTGCAGGTCACCCCTCATATAATTCCAATAACAACATGCCAGAAGTACTTCATATGGTACTGCACCCTTCTCCTGTGGTCTGCAACTGTTCTGTTGAGTTGAAATAAGAAACATTACAAGACTGTGTTCTCCTCCTGCAGCTTA